TCGAGTGCATGTGCTCACCCATACTCACACAAGGTATAGTCAGTGACCGATCACATGAAATGTTACCACAAATTCTGACACGTGGTTTCGATTATGATGGACCACTTAGTGCTGTTTGTCATATTAAATTTTGTGCAGCATATTCCTGTGATATTTCCGACACACCAAGATGTTGGGTTTGAAAGTCTGTAAAACCGCACTCTGAAACAAATGACTGCTTGAGTTGTACGAATTTGTTCCAGTGATTTTCGACGCCCTTATAAACTAATATATATTTTGTGGAGAACGTGCACAAACGCCTCTTACCTTGAACTTATTGCGTAACAAGTCACGTCTTCTTTAAATAGTATACCCAACGAATTAATATCTCTCAGTTTCGAAAAGGCTAGAGAATGTTTAAGACTGTGAAACGTCCATCCATGTGGCGTCTTATCCGTATACATATAAATGCTGCCTATGAAATACACAACATAGTCCACATCCACTGCAAAATTTTATGAGTCCCATAGGGCATCTTCATAATGATACAGAGGAATGTATGATTTCACTTACACGGAAAGCATACGGCTTGCGGACTGAAAACCCTAAACAAGAATGAAACGGCGGAAAGACTGAAAAACTCTGAAGACCAAAAGATACCCTTTCTTCGAGTGTAAAATTTGAATAAGTCATTATTTGCTACCAAAAAAGTTAAAGAAAGAATATGTCTATGCATTTTTTCTATGAAATATATCTGAAGTTATAAGTACATTGAAAGCCAATAGAAAAAATGTGTACTACTTGTGCAGTCATTTTTTATCAAGTGCGGTTGTTGCAGGCGGCCAAAGATAACTATATTCAAAAGCTAAAATACCGACGTGTCTGAAGTATCGTGGGGTTATGTCGCACGATAATCAATATTACAACCCCAGTCAAGCAATCCTTTCTAACTGAAACCGCATGTTAGCACTTTTGTTAATATTTCATGAGACCGGTCACTGACTGTAGGCCAAATTTCAACGCATTGTTTAATCACCTACTGTATCCCTGTAGTTGAGTGTGGTGGCCGTTCACTGGTCACATTATTATGATACAAAAATGTGGCCGAAATAGTCAGTAATTACTTGCATTTGTTTATCTTACTTTCTTTATTGCCTGTCGCTTCTCATCTTGGAAATTCAAACGAAACATATACTGCACAAGAGCAACACCTTTAATGCACAATGCACACAGCATTTTGACATTTTCAGTAAATATGGATCACAAAGCCAAAGTAATGTGTAAAAGAGCGATAATGAGTTGACAATGTAGCAAACAAATGAACAAGTGCGAAGATTTTGCACAAAAGTTGCAACCTTTATAATGCATCTTTAAATACTTGAGGGAAATTAGTCGACAGACGTTCGATTATACGAGGAGCAGAGGAGACGTTACAATTATCATCTAAGGAGGTCTTTGTGTCGCGCGTAGCGTACAAGTACCCTAGTTAGTAAAAAAAACAGCAAGTTAACCGGCTCACCATCGGTCGGAGAAGAGAGGGGCTGACTGAGCGCGAGGAGAAATCGCTTAGGTTTGTGTTACTTGTCGGAAGGGATTGACGAAATGAGGCTCTGACAGCGGGCCTAGCGATGGTTGGGGAGTTTGCCCGTTTGTCTGCAAATGAACGTCTCGACGTCTCCTCGAGTTCATTCCTGGCGATATTCGCAGACCTTACTGTCTCCCGCTCAAGATCGCTTAAATTGAAAGCATTCAAGCAGTCATATACAGATAAAATATCCTAGCTGCGATCAAGGCTCGACTATTAGGTCCCTTCTGGTATCAAAGTGCTTTGAAACTTGAGCCGGCGGTAGAAAGACCACGTAGCCTGTGGCTTAGGGTCTTAAAGGTGACTGGTTAAGTAGTCAGGGTTGGAAGACGTTCGAAATTATAAGCTGGGTTAATTTAGCGGCTATCCATTATATCAGATAGTATTTGAGGACGTGTACTACAAGAACAGATCTGAAATTAATTTTAGACTCTCCCAAAGGCAGAAATTGACGATGGAGCGAGTTATGCAATTTTCCCAATGAATCATAATTTAGTTTAGCTTCAGTTAGATGAAATTTCACAAGGGTTGTTGGAGCACTCAATGGAATTAGCCGCTGGAATGCGAACAATAATAGGGTTATTCGGAAAAAACACCAAACGCATTTAACGATCATGAGAAAACCGCACAAGGCGGACAACCCCTGTTTGCCAAGACAATTTATGCGTAGATGTTGATCGTCGTAGGTTTAACGTGCATTAACACAATTGTGTATTCATGTACTTGACTGCGACAAAGCTAATTCTGAGGGTAAAAGTGAGAAAAGAGACAGCAGTTGAAGACATACCTGTTCAAGACATCTCCCTAAAATGGACGAGAAAAACGGGCATTAAAAACAAACTGTAATTTTGCATGGGAGATATCCAGAATGATATGAAAGAAGGCCTAACGTCAGACCTTAAAAATTTAAGATAATCCGATTTTTAGGATAATATGAACAGTTTACGGCCAGTAAACCT